GCGCGAGAGAGACAGAGTAACGGAAACCACTCTCGGAACCAGTCCCCAGGTCTTCGTGTTCGAGCTCCGCGTCAACGCCGACCTGGCGGCGCTGACGGCGTATACTGCACCAAGAAGCGACGGCTGTAGAATCTAGGAAGAGATCCTTCTACGATGAAAAATCCTTCGCCACACCTTCATTTCCTCCGTGAAGCAGATGGCGCGTGGGCTTTCTAGAGTGGCACGCGATGCGCGCGCGGTGCCGATGGGGCGTAGCGAGGCCTGCATGCAATATGCGCGGTGCGGCGGTGCGAACGGCCAGCTGCATGCCGTGTCGCGCTAATGGTGTGGTGTACTCCCCCCCCCCCCAGCCCCTCGCCACAATCACCCCCAAATCCGCGGACCGTGTTCCAGTGCTCCAGCAAGCTCCAGGGCTCCAGGCTCCACTTGTGTACCGTACCGCTCCAGGCCGCTCCAGGCGGGTGCTAACCAAAGCCGTTTGCCACTATTGCGGTTGCGGTGATGCGGTGGGCGCTGCGAACGGAGTCCTTGTTTGGGAAATGTTCGGATGGACGGCACTGAGAATAAGGCTTGACCGGCAGGGAGTTGCGGGGGAGTGTGTGTTGCGTGAATTTCGGCGGGCAACTTGGAGGGGATTTGGTAAGATTCAAGGGACACGCAAGAAGAGTTTTGCGGATGGCGGTGATCGGTCTTGCCTTCACTGGAGACCTTTCTCCAGGACTGGAGAGGAGAACTCCACACGTCCACGGGTGGAGAATCACTCCGCACTCCAGGAAGTGAGGGATCCACACTTGGCTTGATAGTGCTCCCCCGGGCGGGACTCACTCATCCTCCAGCCCCAGTGCGGCTGCCGGCGACTCGGCAAGGCAGGCAAGGCTCCAGCCTGGCTCCAGCCGCGGGCCGCTCGCCCCACTGTGAACGTGAGCAGCTGGAGCTCCATGGAGCGGGCCGAGCACGCCCTGGACGGGCATCGACGGGCATGGCTTGGGCACTGTCAAAATCAGCTAAAATTGATGGTTTCAAGGAGCAGGCGCGGATCTGGAACAACAAGTCGCACTTTGCCCCTTTTGAGCTCCAGAGTCGCTAAATGGAACTCGATGCAAACGTGTGACCCCTCACCAAAGGATTGCTCGTTCGCAGAGTCATCCATTGGCGGGCCACACGCTCACTTCGAATCCTGATCAGTGACTCTGGAGCTCAAAACGCGTCTAAAGTTCGGGCCGCCTGTGCCGGTCTTCTGGGCCACTGTGCGTCCCGCAGTGGCCGAGAGGCACGACCTCATGCCGATACGAGAACTTGCAGCAACATTGTGCTGAACTTTGTGCCGTGGCCTGCCGAACGCGGAGAACGCCATGCACCCCTCCAGGCTCCAGGACTCCATCCCCCAGTCCCCGGGGCGCCGTGCCAGCGTGGACCGGCTCGAACGCCATGCAGGCTGCTTGCGCTTTACTTTCTGGGGGCCCCGTTCTCCGATCTCCATTTGTCATCATTGAGTGGGAGTGCACGGCGCGGCGCGGCACGGCAGGGGCCCAAGGCGGGCTGCGTTCGAACGCAAGGTGCGATGCGCACTCTTGCCTTTCGGACTTGGTAGAAGTGTCATCAAACCTCTTGATGGTGTTGTTGTCACACCCATGCAATAGTCAAGTAGTGCTTGGGTGGAAATTTTATCAGCTTACGATGAAATTATCCACGATGACTTCACACAAAGCGACTCCAAATTTTGACAGTGTGCGCGCCGCTCCAAGCTCCGAGGCCCCGAGGCTCTCGCCCTCCACCAAGGCCCTGATGACGAACGCGGGTGCGGGTAATCTGGTGTCGCGAGGAGCAGCCTCCTCAAAGCGATCCCCCATCTCTGTCTCTCTCGCGCCTCCAGCGCACCATCCTATGAGAGCGCGAGAGAGACAGAGCGACTTCAGTCTACTTCAGTCGGCCTGCCGGGCCGCCTCGGGCAAATCTGCACACGTGTGAAGTGCGGTGAGTGATCACCCACGCGACGCGCTGCAAAACGCCCCAGCAACCCCCCTCTCTCTCTCGCTCTAAACTCATTACTACCGTTCGGAAATTCGCGGCGCGACGTTGTCGGCGGGAACATGTCCCCCCCCCCATCCCCCAAACACAAATGCACTCTCGAACGGCCTTTTCCCAGCCAGCAGCCCGGCCAGACCCTCACCCACGCACAGCCTGTCTGTCTGTCTGTCTGTCTGTCTGTCTCCTCGCTGTGAGGGAGGTGAGTGCAGCCCTGACAAGCGGGCGGGTTGCTGGCGGGGCTGCAGCCCGATTCCGAACGGGTCGCCCTTTCTCTCTCGCACTCGCGGCCCGTCCCGGACAGGTGTGTGTGTGTGAGAGAGAGAGAGACACTGCTCGGAACAGTCCGCTGGCGGGGCTGGTGGATAAGGCCCTGCATACTGATGGCGGGGCGCGGGGCGCGGGCCTAGGCGCAGGGACTCCACAGGGCTGCCTCGCTCGCCTCGCTTGGCACACCTTCTCCACGCAGGGTTGCCAAATGGGCGGCGCGGCCAGTAAAGCCCTCGGCGTGTCTGTCTGGTGCGTGGGGCGTGCTGTCGCGTGCTGCCGCGTGCTGCCGCGTGCGTGTCAAACGGCCGCGGCAAACGGGGCGAGCGTGCGTGCGAGCGTGCGTGGCACTGCGTGCGAGCGGCGGGGCGGGCGGGGCAGCACGCACCCAGAGGGACCCCCGGACCCCCGCTCACCCTCCACCCCTTCGCCTGCTCGCCAGCGGTGCTCCGTGCCCCTCTAACATGAGCCGATCCCGGGCCGAGAGTCGTTTTCGTCGCTCAGTCTCCCTCGCACCTATTCGGGACGCCCCGTGAGTACGAGAGAGACAGAGCGACGAAGCCAGGTTCGGGGCCTGTCCATGGCGTCCAAGCCCCCTCTGTTCTTCTGGTCGACCGGTCGGCCCGGCCGGCGTCGTCCTTGTGCCCCACGGCCCCACGGCCTCGCGTGCCCGCGTACCCCCTCCCGAGGAGCTAGGGGGCTGCCCCGCTGCCCCAGCTCATTGGGAGGCTCCGCGCGCCCTGCCACTCGCAGTGGGGCCGAGGCCCCCTAAAAAGAAAACAGATCAAATAGTTTAGTTAGTTTAGTTAGCTCGGTTTTGGAGTTTATCTATCGACCACCAAATAATCGCAGTGAGATTCCTACCGAAGACTCTGAGGCTGGTTCACGAGGGCCAAGGGGTTGCGGGATTGGGGGGGGGGGGATGGGGGCACCAACCGGCCTCTCGCACGTAGCAACGCGCCGAAACGCGCCCAAGCCCATCGCGCTGTCAGACTTGGACCAAGACTAAGCACCACTGCTAAACCGCAAGGGCATCAAGGACAGCCCAACGAGGGCCTGGACCGCGTCTGCGCAATACTACGGGATTACGGCCGAGACTGGGACGTACGCTGGAAGGGCGGAGAGGCGGGGGAGGGATAGACACGGAGGCAAATCGGACAGCAGGGAGAGAAATGTAAGTACATCAAATTGTCCGTTCCCCTCTCTCATTCGCGCCTCCCGCGCGCCGCACTGCGCTAGAGAGAGACGGCGACTGGTTTGACCTGCTGCACCAGAAGAACTATCCGAAGGCGTTGAGTGTGGAGTGCGTCAAGTCCGACGGGGCGGTCATCGGGTCCACGAGACTCTCGTCCCCCGACGAGGCCTGGGTCTCTGCCCCCCCCCCCCTCTCCACTCGGCGCGCTACTTTTTGCCGGGAAAACGGCAACTTTTCGGGCGTTCCATTTATTCTGTTGCCTTGCTTGCCGCCTCGCGCCTCGCGCCGCTCGCGCCGCCGCTGCCTGCACACAGCGTCGGGACGAACTAACGCCCCGCGCCCCCTCCCCCTCGAAGCCAGCCCACATAAATTCAGTTTAGGCGATCAATCACCCCCGGGCCTTGCGGGCCTTGCATTGCACCGCCTCCCTCCTTGCGGCGCCTTGCGGTGATGCCGCGCCGGGCCTGGAGGGGCTGTGCACGGGGCTTGGGGCCCAACGCGGGGCGTGGCAGAGGGGTGGCTCGGCTGCTCGCGGTGCGTGGGGAAAGTGCATCTAAAGGCACTACGGCCCCACGGCCCCCGACCCGCCAATTCTCCGTCTACACTCGAAAAAGAAGCGCTTCGTTCGTCCTGCGGCCGTTCGCAGTCAATGGCAGGCCGCACCGCTCCACCGCAAGCAGTACCGGTCCAGGAAGGGGTGCGCGGAGCGCAGTGGCGAGCCCCGTGCGCCCCGTGCGCCCCGTGCGCCCCACGCCACCACCGTAAAACAAACAGCCGGAACAATAAAACTAGAGAGCCGTCGCTAAGCGTTCGTTGGCACAGGTGGCGCCCCGCCCCGCCCGGCAGTGCGGTAATTAAGGGTGTACGTGCTCGGCATAACGTGTTACGTAATAACGAATAACGCGTCGAGTGTAGAACGGTCACTTTTACGGCCGGCCCGGCTTTATGGCCGCGATATATCACTTCTGGTGGCCGCGCGGCTTATTTCGAGACCGCGGACAACGCGGACCCTCGGACAACGCGGACCCTCGGACAACGCGGACCCTCGGACAACGCGGACCCTCGGACAACGCGGACCCTCGGACAACGCGGACCCTCGGACAACGCGGACCCTCGGACAACGCGGACCCTCGGACAACGCGGACCCTCGGACAACGCGGACCCTCGGACAACGCGGACCCTCGGACACGCGGCGTGTCGCGGCGTGTTCGAGTCACGCACGCACGGCGCGGGCCCTGCTGACCGTGCGTGGTCCCGCTTGAAGTCGGCTCCCACCTTTTGCAAAAAATATGCCATGTTGACATCGTCTGGGACGCGTCGCGCACGTCTCAGCGCGAGAGGTGAGTCTGATCGGGTGTCATTTGCGTAGATGGCGCGTGGCATCACCCCATTCCCTTTTTTTTTGTTTGCAAAGCGTGGTGCTGTTGCTGGATGCTCTCGTGTGACAGAAGATTCCGGGCGGAATCGGGCCAGCGTGAGTGCGGCGGTTCAGTCAGTCTTGAGTGCAGGTCTGCCACCACCCAGCCGCCCCGAGAGCCACCCGCACCTCGCCATGCAGCTGGACGTCGACGACATGTACCGCGACATCGCGCTGCTGGCCCACCAGATCGACGCGGCGCTGCGGCAGACGGACGCCGCCACCGCCCTCAAGTTCATGTTCCTGGGGCTGTGCTGCGACTCGTGGGCCGCGGACGTGCTGGAGAAGCGCGCCATCCCGGACGACGACAAGAGGAGCAGCGTCGTGCTGCACCACCCACCGAGCCAAGGTGAGTCCGCTCCGGTCCGCGCAGTGGATGCGCAGGCGGCCCAAATTCTAGACGCGTTTTGAGCTCCAGAGTCGCTGAATGGGACTCGAATCGAACGTGTGACCCCACCAATGGATTCCTCATTCGGGGAGCAATCCATTGGTGGGGTCACACGTTCGGTTCGAGTCGCATTCAGCGACTCCGGAGCTCGAAACGCGCCCGGGATCCTGGCAAATCCACCGCGTGTTTCGTCCTAATGGAGCCTTGCCTGCACGCAGCACCGGACGACCCCGTGGACGCGCTCCACTGCCACCTCCGCGACCTGCACTTCAGCCTGGAGGTGGTGGCCGTGCTGCTGCGGCCCGGCGTCGAGCGGGACGCCACGGCCAAGCTGCTGGAGCTGGTGCGCTGCATGTGCCGGCAGCGGGGCGTCGAGCTCGAGTGAAGCCATGCGATGAAAAGATTTTTCCATATTTTACGTGGTGTTTTAAATGTTTTGTTTTTTGTGCTCCTGTTGAATTTTTCCACAGTTTAAAATACTTAGAGGAACACAGTACATATATTTTTTACCTCGTTATGTTATATGATGTAGTGTGTTGGTAACACTGCAAATATTTTTCCATATTTTACATGGTGTTTTCTTTTTTAATTTTTTTGTTGTTTGTTGTTCTTGTTGAATTTTTTCACAGTTTATAAAATACTTAGAGAAACATAGTATATTTTTTACCTAGTATGTAGTGTCTTAGTATGGTGCAGTGTGCTGGTAACACTGCAGTATTTGTTGTTTATGGTTCATGATAATTAGAGCAATCTTTATTTATTCTCGCTTTGGTCGTCTTTTTCGTCATCCCCTACTCTACACTAACGCTAGCGTCAACCAAATCCAAGGTAAAGTCAGTCTGCGGGAAAAGGAATCGAATAGCCCCCAGTTTTGTATCGGGGTGGATATTCAAATATAGCCTATTTCTCAGCTCGGTTCGGTATGTACCTTGAGTTGTTTTCCTTTTCTGCTGCGCAAATTCTACAGTGCAATGCAACGCGTAGTACGTACTGGGCGTGTCGTTGTGGGGGTCGGCGCGCACGGTGCGCACACACAGTCATGGGGCGTCCCTGTGAGTGCGAGAGAGACAGAGCGACGAAATCAGCCTGCCGTCGGGACGGGAGGCGCGGGGCATTCGTCGAGCCAGGAGCAAATAAGGGCCGCGAGACGCGCTTCACGGCGTAATTGTGTGGCGCGATACGCTGGAAAAGGGGGGGGGGGGCTTGCAGTGTGGCCGCAGTGGCATTGTGCTAAGTACTCCACGCAGCACTGCATCGGGCTGCCTATCTGCAAGGCGCAGGCCGGGGGAAGCTTCAACAGCGAGGCCCACCGCGAACACCGCGGAATGGTGGCGCCAACTTCCGGCGTGATAATGACCGTGTAGTTGACGGAGCCTTGGCGGAGCCCGACGCTACCAGACGCTACTACACTGCGAGGCGTCGAGGGGGCTTCACCCTCTGCGCGCTTGCGAGGCTTGCAGGCAGAAAGCGCCGAAAAGTTGCCGAACCATCCGGCGGAGCGTTGGCGGCGTGCGCCTGTGGGAGAGCCTGTGGGGATAAATTGTGGGGAGAGTCTGTGGAGAGACCGGGAGAGCTTGTGGGGAGAGCCTGTGGGGAGACCTTGTGGGGAGAGCCTGTGGGGAGGGACTGTGGGGAGGGCCTGCGGGGAGAGCCTGTGGGAAGAGGAAGAGCCTGTGGGAAAAGCTGCTGCGGAGAGCGGGACGGAAGGGAGCGAAAGAGAAGAATTCATCAGGGAACAGCGCCTCGCGGTGGTGGAGCGGGGGAGCGGCGCCAGCCTCAGCGCCAGCCAGGTTTTACCCCCCGCGGCGTTTACCTTAGCCACATTAACACCCAATTCCAAACTTGAACAAATACGGGAACCGCAGCGAGCTCTGGCTGGCACACTGCTGCTCGAGCCAGCGCAGCCAGCGCAGCCAGCGCGCACAGAGGCGTGCGGATTTACAAATCGCTTCCTGGAAGACATTCGTCTTCGCCTACAAAGCGCCGTTTGTGTACACACTGCTGGGATTGCTGCGATGGTTCAGCTGTACAGTCCGGATGCGGCTCGTGACCCTCCAGAGCCCTGCGGCTGCCTCGCCTCTCCGCCTGGAATGAAAGACAGAGAGTTGGTTTACACGTAAGGTGGGAGCTAACGGCCGTAGTAACGGCCTTGATGGGGGCGTCGATGGCGGAGAAGCGCGCCGCGCCGTGTGTCCGTCATGGCACCGCTTGGAGTGGAGCGCGGCAGCGCGGCGACGGCGGTTCGACATCACGGAGTGCATCAAGGCGTTGCAGGGGCGTCTACGGGTGCCCCTTCGGACTGGGCACTATAGAACCAGCGCTTAGTGCACCAGAAGTGGGCTAGAAGACCGATGGAGGCGGCCAAAACTCTGGACGCGTTTTGAGCTCCAGAGTCGCTAAATGGGACTCGAACCGAACGTGTGACACCAATGGATTGCTCGAGGACTCCATTGGTGCGGTCACACGCTCGGTTCGAGTTCCATCGGGCGGCTCTGGTGCTCAAAACGCGTCGATAGAGTTCGTAGGGGCCCGTGCGCTTCATGAAGGGCCCCATGTCACGCCTCTTCGTCAGTGCAATGCCCGCGTCGCGCTCACGCCCTCCACCGGGCCCACGTCGATGTCGACGATGATGCCGTTACGAGTCCAGGGTCGGGTCCGCCCGGATTACCTCACACACAGTGCAGGCGACAGCGGTCCCCGACTCCGGGCTCTTCGATGTCTTTCGACGCCTCACCTCGCTTCTATTCTGGGAAGCGATCGAGTCACACGAGTCCATGCCTTGGCCGGCCATGGCCACAGTGCGTCAGAGTCAGAGACTTTTCGCATGGCGCGTCGACACTCTTTGTGTGTGTGTGTGTGTGTGTGTGTGTGTGTGTGTGTGAGCGCACCGGGACGGGGATAACACCTGTCTCTGTCCCACTGACGGGCTGACGGCACTGACCGCGTGCACGCGTGCACTCACAGTGTGCACTCCGCGACGACCTCACAGTGTAGGCTCAGCGAGGCTCAGTGGCTGGAGGCGCCGAGGCATTGACCGCTCCCTCCCACACTGCCAAGACAAGACCGCCAACGAACTGACGAAACGACAGGGCAAGGGATGCCCCATCCGCGAAACTCCCGCGCGCGTCTCCCACTGCCATTCAACGGATTTGACGTCAAACTGGAGAAATTATTCAAAGCGTGATTGAAATGAAAGTTGTCCTTTCGCCAGCTCTGCCCGCCTTTCCACCTCGATGAACCTCCTCCCCCCACTCTCTGGGATTACTTTAAACCGCGCTTGGGCGTGAGTGTCACGGGCGTACCGTTGACAGGGGGACGCGCCCCGCCCCGCCCCACCCCGCCTCACACCTGCGACGACCACGGGACAACGGTTGTTCCCCTCACATGGAATCGGATAACGCATAGCGCCCTTCGCGGCGAGTGGAGGGCTTTCCCAGTTTTTCCCGCCTCGGCACTGCACCGTAAAGCACCTTCACGGATCCTCTCCTTCGCGATGCTCCTGTCCGATACTGGAGCTTGGCAGGCAACCGGCCCAGGCCAGGCGCGTAGGCAAAGGAAGAAGCTGGTTCCGATGATGTTTTGGAAATTGCATTTCGACGCTGTATCAAATGGAAGGGAGATCTGATGGAGTGCGGATTGGGCTGACGCGCAAGGCGTTGTGCGGAGTGGGGTCTCACGCCGCGGACAGAGGGGGTGCAAAGAGGGGAAGGAGGGGGAGGGGAGGGGGGGAGGGGAGGGGAGCTCCACATCTAGACAATGGACGCTGATTGGCCCGGGGGCTGTTCTGTTCATTTGATTGCGAGAGGCGCCAAAGGCGTTGGGGCGCCAGCGGACTGATTCCGAGAGTCGTTTTCGCCGCTCTGACTCTGTCGCACTCATGGGGCGTCCCGTATGGGCGTGAGAGAAACAGAGCGACGAAAACGACTCTCGGAATGAGTCTGCAGGCGGCAGGCTCAGTGACCCTCGCGGCCTGGCACGCGAGCATGACCGCGGCCGGCGGCGGGGGTGGCTGGCCGAGGCCTACGAACAGTACCCTCTCCTCTTTCCTGGAGACAGTTCGGACAAACCCGAGGACAAGTCAGAGAAAACAAAAATGGCGATGCAAGAGAAGTCTAGGTCGGAGCTGGCCGGGGGTGGAGTTCGTTCGCGCTACCCCAGTGTAAGTGGCAGCCACCTGTCTGTGCCGCGGACAGGTGCAATCAAAAGCAATCACAAGCAATCACAAGCGGGAAGGACTTACAGTGTCAGGTGCGCGTCTTATCGCTGCCCGCCCGTCCGGTCCGTTCGGCGATAAGCTGCGTGCCTTATCCCCGCAGCCTGATTTCCACCAGCAATCTGTGCATCGGAAAGCCCCGGCTACACTGCTAGGGGAGGGAATGGGTCACAAAATTCTCACCCTTCAATTTTTAGTCGTGTTTCTATTTTCGCGGCTGTCTGTGAATTCCCTTTTCCATTCCCAGATAATGATTGAGTCTTGCGCCGTCTCTGGACAGTGCGGGTGGCCGAGGCTGCCAAGGCCGTGCGCACGGTGGAGCGGCCGCCGTCGTGCCGGATGTATGAAAATTGTAATTTTATGCCATGCATACGGAGCGGGCCATCGCGGCCCCATTTTCTCCCGTTGTCCTTTGTGCCGTGGCGTGGCGTGCCGCGCCGCGCCGCCGGACGGGGGCGGTTTGAGGTTTGGGGCGGTCAGTGGGCGGTCAGTGGGCGGTCAGTTGCCGGAGGGGAAAGGGCGTACACCTCTAACGGTGTCAGAGTCACACTGGAAAATAAATGAAGACCAAAGCCACCCACCTTTCTAGAACGGGGTACAGGTGGGACTTTAGACCAGCATAGCGCTTCCCCGGTCCTTGCCGGGTGCACACTTGCTGCCCAGGCGATGGCCGGGCCGACCAAGCCCTGCAGCTGGCTGATTCAGAGAGTCGCTGTCCCTCTCGCACACGAGGATGCCCCGAGAGTGCGAGAGGGTCAGAGCGACGAAAAGGACTCTCGGAATGAGTCTGCAGAGGGCGGGATCGGCTTGCCGCCCATTGAATGCTTGGCGGTGGACGGCGTCGCCGGGCACGCTGGTAAAATAAAAGAGAGGGGGGGGGCCTTATCTGGGGCCTATCCCACTCGACCGGCCCTTGCAAGGGTCCGAGAGGGCCCCGGCAGCGAACGCTGGAATAGGAAAACGGACCGTGGGGAGAGCGGGGGACAGAGAAAGGGAGGAGGCACAACTTCTCCTTATGTCTCGCCGGACATTACACAAGGTTGTGTGTCGCTCTATTTCCCCGTGCGTTGCTCTCTGTCTGTCTGTCTGTCTGTCTGTCTGTCTGTCTGTCTGTCTGTCTGTCTTTGTAGCAGGGCCTTTAAGGGCGGTCCCTGTCTCGGCTGCGGGGCTGGCTGCAGGGGGCCAAGCAGGGAGGCGCCGGGAGGGTGTTTGGGTTACGTCAGTCGGTCCAGGGACTAACCCAGGGCCCGCCCGGGGCCTGTGGACTGATT